CTGCTGGCCACAGAGCCCCTCAGCTCCAAACCTCTGGAGCTAGAAGCCACCTCTCAGGCTTGCCCTGAGATTAGAAGGTTCTGGGGGTAATCCCGAGACGTCTGGGGAACAGTGAAGAGTTTGGTTTGGTTTAATGGACCGGTCAGGTCAGCTGTGAGGCCGGGAGTGGGCCAAGCCCAGATGCAGAGCAGTTAAGAGCTCTCGGGCTTTACTCTGCGAGGCAGGCTTTTGATTGAAGCTGGCCTGGCTGGGCCGACTGAGAAGCTGCAGAGGCCCCGGTCGGCAGAGGCGCAGGGAGAGGAGAGCCAGCAGCCCAGCAGGAAAGCAGCGAGCTTCTGGGGCCCCAGTGCCCAAGGGGGCCGTGCACACGTGTCTGTGTGCCGGGCACATGGGTGCTGTGTCCCAACACGTCAGCCTGTGCCTGGGCGCCCCAGGTCTGGGCTTCCCCCTTCCTCCAGGAGCCAGGGAGAGGAAGGCAGCCCGGGAAGACCGCAGCCGGCCCCAGGCCAGAGCTGAGTGTGGGGGCCATGTCCTCCAGCTGGCTGTGTGCTCAGACCTGAGAAACCGCCCCCAGCAGCTCCTCCTTGACATGCGGCCCCACCGCCGCCCCTGTGGGTGACCAAGCCTGGCGCTGCCATCGGCTTCCCCTCCCCTGGCCGTGGATGAGAGAGGCATGCCCAGACTTCTGACTGATCAAAGGGCTTGCTGAGCCCAGCGGGCTGCCGAGGAGCTTCGCCTTGATCCACTGCCCCCAGCAGGGGTTTGGAGAGAGGCGGGCTTGCCTACAGGTAGGACTTTGCAGAATAATGGCACCCAGGTTTTCTACGTCCTGAAAACTCTCCCCGTCCCCTGACCCAGGGGAGCCTGCCAGGCTGGGGAGCAAGGGCACTGTGCCACTAAGACTCAGAGCCGAGCTTCTCTGGAGTGCAAACCAGGCCTAGGCTTGGGGGCCGGGGGGTGTGGGGGCAGTAAATGGGGTGGAGCTTCCCGAGTCCCACTGAGTGTCCAGCAGAGTCACACCAAGGCCACATTTCTGAGACTCCACACTGGAACAGTCCCTGGGGGTGGTCTTGGGCCCTGGTCCTTCCTAAGGACAAGAGAACAGTTCAATGAGCAGATGTGAGAGACTCAAGTGTCACCATCCAGAGGTGGGGCAGTGAAGGCCAGAGGGCGGCTCCCCTCCTGTCTCCAAGGTCCGGCAGAGCCACTCAGAGGCCGACAGCTTGAGCTTCTGTCCATTAGAGACTCAGAGTGCCATTGCATAAAGCCCTGCCTGGCCAAGCCTCCCCCAGGCCCAGTGTCATACCCTGTCCATCAGCCACGCCCTGTGGTGCCCCTTCCTCCAGGCGGCTGCACCCCCCCGCCCCCAGGTCCCCAGCATCCTGCAGAGATGCAGGGACCCTGTGTCCTCCGCTCTGGCCCAGGACATCACACCACCTCCCAGGCCCCCCCGCGGGTCAGGGTGTTACGGCCCAGCCACCCCCACCCTGTGCCCTCTGACCCCACACATCTTATTGCCAGCAGGACTCAGCCCTTGTCAGGGGACACAGTTGCCAGTGACATTCTGAGCGGGCACACATGGATGGAAGTGACTTTAACTGTTCAATCTAATTAGAAACTTGCTTTCAGGGTTACCAAAAGTCATCACGAGGCCCAACAGCAAAAGATCTCTGTTGTTCCTCAGTAGTGCCACCAACGGACCACAGCCCTAGATCCGAGCTCGGCCCCCCTCTGAGCAGTGCGCCCCTCGTGCCCAGACTCTTCCTGGGCAGAGGCAGGAAGCGGAGGGCAGAGGGACCCTGAGCCGTGGCACGGGCCCTGCAGGACTCAGGCCGCTCCTCCAGAAGAGGAAATGTGGGGGAGCCTGCACACCTCCTCTGAGATGACTCTAAATGGCCGCTTTCTCCCTAGCTCCTCGCTTGGTGTCAGCAGCAGGGCAAATCCAGTGTCCGTCACATGCCGCTGGCTCAAGGAACCCGGGCATTTTCTGCTTTTATAAGTGTGCAAACAACCAGCGCACGCGCACCTTCCACTGTGCTGCCGTATGTGTGAGCCCACATGGCGGACAGGCCGGCACCCCCAAGCAGGAAGGGTGGTCCTGTCCCCGTGGCTTGGGCGAGGGGCACACACAGTGAGGGCTCTGTCAGCCCCGCACCCCCACCCCCAGGGCTCCCCCCCGGCGAACCCACCCAACCCCCACAGCGGCTCCTGCCCAACGGATGGAGGCCGCGGGCGACGGCGTGGGGGGCTGGCGAACAGGGTGACACGGACCTGTAGGGCTCAGGTGCTTCCTCTCCAGTGTGACCCGGCCCTGCTCCCGGTGCCCCCAGCTGCTTGTGTCAAGCTGTGCCCTGGCCTGGCCAACAGACGTCCCTCATCCTGGGCTGTCCTAGACCTGCACAAAATCGAACGTGCAGGGCCACGGTGGCAGACGGGACAGCCGCCCAAGGCAGCCCGGGTCTCGGGAACAGTAGGGCTGGGCCGGCACTTGGGGCAGCTGCTCGGCGGGCTCGTGACCCGGGACGGAGCTCTCGGCCTCCCACAGTCCCAGAGCTCACCTCTGTAAAACCTCAGTGCGCCCCTTGGGTGGGGGAGCAAGGAAGACTCCGTGGACCAGACAACCAGAGAGAAAAGCCGGCAAGGGATTCTGCGGCGGAGGCAGCGCCTCCTCCCCATATGCCCCCAGAGCCCCCGTCCCCACATCTGGCAGCCTTCAGCAGAGCCATCTCCGGCGGTGACTGCCTAGTGGCCACGCGGCCACTACTACCCCCTGTGCTTGGCCTCCCAGCCCCTTGTTATCAAGGCTTTCTGGCAAGTGCAGCCCCAGCAGAGCCAGGAGGACCACCCCACCTGCTGACCCCCGCCCCCCCCAGCCATGTGCCAACCCCACGGAGAGGCTCTCCTCGCAGCTCTTCTCCTTGCCCACTGCAGTAGCAGCGACCTCACGGGGAGCAGGAAGGCTTTCTCTGGGGGATGGAGCCCTGCTACACCTAGGAGGTGCCCCAGCAGGGCCGTCCTGGAAACCTGCCACGTAAGCGTGGCCCATGGACATTCTGGCCACGCTGCTGTCTGAAGACCCGGAAATGCACTGGACACCGACCCCACCCTGAGGAATTTCCCAATCTGGCTGGATTAAGAGGTGGCAACAGTGATCACCATAACAACAAGACAGAAAGACCCTCAGGCAGGTTTAAGCCCCAGTCCAGGCTCCCGCCTGACCTGGAAGCACGTGACAGTGGCCAGAGGTGAGCTCCTACAGACAGGGCCTGGGCCACTGCTCCTAACCCTCCCAGGGGTGGCCTGAGCCAGGCAGGCCTGTGGTGTGGTAGGGGGAGGTGTCCAGGCGGCTGTGCCAGGCGTGGGCAAGAAGAAGTAGGCTTGTGTGTGTGCACTGTACGGGGGGAGGGGGCGGGGGGGGGCTCTGTGAGTCACCAACATGATGAGGCAGCAGGTGCGTGGGGAGGGCAGGAGGTCTGTACACTTGGGTTGGGTCCCCACAACCTCCCTCCATACGATGACTCAGTGTCTCTGGGTGAAGGGAGCAGGGCAGGAGACCCCAGGCCCCTTCTGGGGTTGCTGAGTCAATTGCTCAGGGAGGCAGGGGAGGGATGGAGCTCCCCCCACCCCACAGCCCACAGGGCTGGTGTGCCTGCCTCAGGGGTTGGGAGGTATGGGCGGCCCCTGGGGGGGGGGGCTGCTTCCTGCAGGGAGTTCTGAGGTCCAGGCACTCAGTGCCACGTGGTGGTCATCTCAGTGTTCTCCTGAGGGGGCACCACCGAGGGTGCCGACTTATTTGCTTTGCTCCCATTTCTGCCAGTTAGGCATCTGGGTTCATGACCTGGTGGCCTTTGCCCACATGGCAGTGGGGAGAGCAGAAGGCCAGGGGAGGGGCGCAGCAGCTGGGGAAGAAAGAAACGGAGAAGCCCTCCAGACACTAGTGCCCTCGCTTCTTACCTCCCTTCCCACAACCCCCCCCATCCCCACTTCCCTCTGCAGCTAAGGGAGCTGCCTGCCCACTCACTGCACCATCGCGCACGGTGCCCCATCAGCCTCACCAGCTTCACCCGGAGCTCTCCCGTCAAGCTCTCTGGCCTGCACCCTCTCCTCATCCCCCAGGCTACCTGACCTGCTGTCGGCCCCAAGAGGCTACCTGCCACCGCCCAGCGACCCAAGCCAATAGAGACGTTCTGCCTCGGTCACATTTGCTTCTCCAGGACCCACGCGGAGGGACCAAAAAACCGGCTGACAAGCTCCAATAACTAAGTCGTCCGTTGCCTCTCTACAGGGCTGAGAAAGGGTGGGGTCTAGTCTCCCAGCGAGTTTCCAGCGTACAGCCCCCCCATCCGCCCCCACATAAACCTCAGGTGTGCGCTGGAGCCGTGGGAGAGGCGACTGAAGTGGACGTAGGGGCGAGGGGCTGGTAAAGGGGTGCAGGCGAGGAGTGGGGGCCGCACGCAGAGGGGAAGGAGGCGCTGCGGGAGCGGAGGCGCGGGGCGCGTCTGCCAGGGTGCAGGGAGGCAGGGCGGGAGCGAGGGAGGCGGAGAGGGGAGGGATGCCGAGTTAGGCTGGGGGCGGGGAAGCCCCTGATAGGCGCGCGGAAGGCGTGATGTCACGTCCGGCGGGGGAAGCCCTGCCTCAGCACCCCCGCCCCCCGCCCCCACAGGTGGTGCCGCCGCCCCGGGCGCTGGGCGTGGGGGACCCGCCCTCGGGGACCCCGCCACGGCCCGCGCGCTCCCCGGCCGCCCCGCCTCCCTCGGGCGGTCCGCAGCTCCGCGCGATCCGGCGGGTCCAGTCCCTGGGAGGGCTGGAGGAGCGCGCGGTGCGCCCCGCGTCGCGCCCCGCGCCGCGCCCGGCCGCGCAGCTCCCCGCCCAGCCCGCTCCGCGCGCCCCGCCCCTGCTCGCCCCGCCCCGCCCCCTCCCCGGCAGCCGAGGGGCCGGGTCGCCGGCAGGGGAGGCGCCGAGCCGGGACTGCGCGCTCGCCCGACGCGCTCTGTGCAGCCCGATCGAGCGGCCGGACCTCGCGCCCCGCGCGCCCCGCGCCGCCGGCTTTTGTTGTCGCCGCCTCCTCGGCCGCCGCCGCCTGCGGACCGCGAGCCGCACGCGCCGGGACCTTGGCTCTGCCCTTCGCGGGCGGGGGCTGTGCGGCCCCGGGCGGGATCCGAGAGAGGCGCGGGCGGGCGGCCGGGGCGCCCCGGCCCCGCCATGGAGCTGCGGGCCCGAGGCTGGTGGCTGCTTTGCGCGGCCGCCGCGCTGGCCGCCTGCGCCCGCGGGGACCCAGCCAGCAAGAGCCGGAGCTGCAGCGAAGTCCGCCAGATCTACGGAGCCAAGGGCTTCAGCCTGAGCGACGTGCCCCAGGCGGAGATCTCGGGTAAGTGAGGGCGCGGCACCGGGGGCTCCGGACCCCGGCGTGTCCGGGTCTCTCCTGCGTTCTCCTGCTCTCCCCTGGTCTGCCCTGCACCCGGATCGCGCCGCCTGTACCCCCGCTCGTCTGCACCCCCTCCGGCCCTCGCCTCCGAGTGCCGCCCGGGTCTCCTGCGCTCCGTTCGGCCGCCCCCCAGCCCCCAGCACGCACACCGGCCCCTTCTCCGCGGAGTTCTCCTCGTGGGACTGTGGGCCGGGCGGTCCCCGGCTGGGAGCGTCTTCCAGGGCCACAGCTAGAGCTGAGCGTCTTCGGCCATTGGCTCGGCCCAGCGCGGTGGCGGGGCGGGAGTCCGAGCCCCGGGGCGCGCTGGGCTGGCTGTCCGGGCGCAGCTGACGGCGGTCGCAGGCTGGGGACTCCCAGTTGGCTGTACGGGCCTCTCCGGGAGCCGCCTCGGGTCGGGCCTGAGGATTCCTGTGGGATCCCCAGCAACGGCAGCCTAGGTGGGTTCAATTAGAGGCCCCCCATTCCTGGCGGGAGTGGGGCCCCTGCGAAGTAGGGTGCGAGCTGTGCGCCTGGGGGTGGGGGCGAGGCGCGTCCTCTGCCACCTCGAGCCAGTAAGCAAGGGTTCCTGCCCAGGGAACTTGCACTCGCTGGCCCGCCGGCTTGGCACTCTGGGCTGCCTCTGGCGGGGAGTAGAGCTGCAGGTGGTCGGTGCCTTGGATCCCGCCCAGGGGCCGTGTCTTTTCTTTGTAAGAGCGTCGACCCTCCCAGGCATCCTCAGGCCTGCAGCTGCCCGCAGTCCTGCCCACCCCCTCCTTGCAAGCCTTTGAGGAGCTTTGGAGCCAGTATATGTGAGGGTGGGGGGTGGAGTACAGTGTTCTAGGGACCACCCAGACCCCCAGGCTCCTCAAACTGCAAATGTGTGGGGAAGCACACTGGGTCTGTGCGGGGTGCCTGGGACACAGTGGACAGCAGCAGAACAGACCAGATTCCTCTAGGGAGGGGATTGCTCCCAAACTAGGGGGAGGCGTGTGCAAGTAAGGGCTCTGCTCAAATGGTGACACAGGGGACAGGGAATGACCACGGCTACAGGAATTCTGAATGACAGAGGCGTGGATCAGTGTGAGGTCCATGGCCCTGCCCTGCTGCGGAGTGGGGGGAAGGCAGCCAGGTTCTGGCCCCCTGGCCCCCAGAAGGTCAGACACACAGAGGGCTGCCTTGAGAGATCCTTTGACATACCTGCCCCCCCAGATTCCGGAGAGCCCCCCCACCCAAGGACCCCAAAGCAGGCCTTCTTGTGCCTCCCTCTGCTGAGAGTTCCTGTCACTGTCAGGACTGTGTTTCTGGTGGGACCGGTGGGCATGCCTGGGTGCCTGGGGCGAGTTCAGGGGCCCTCTGCCCACCACTGCCCCTCCTCCCACACCAACAGAGGAACTTTTGCCTGGGTGTCTCTGGCCTTCCCGCCGGATCCTGCCCCAGGCCTGGGTCTCAGGGTCGACTGAGCAGCTGCCCACCCGCCCCCCCAGCCCCAGATCTTGGATGGAAGCCTTCCCCTGTGCCTCTTCTTGTACCCGCTCCCACTTTGCCATTGTGTCCTTAGGGACCATCCTAAACTTACTCGAATCCACGGGCCTCTGTCCTGGTTAGGCCTGAGAGACAGAGTGGCAGAGTTTGGGCAGCTGCAAAGGGCTGCGAGGGAGCGGGGCAAACGGGACGCTGAGCTGGGGCTGAGCTAGGGAGCAGAGGCTGGGGCTTGCTCCCCTTCGGTTGGGATGCTGTGGATTAGGGACCCCGGACGATCAAAGTGCATCGCAGTCTGTGAGTGTGATGGGTCCAGCTGGGAGAGGATGGCTACCCAGCAGCTGTCCCAGCATCGTGCTGATCAGGGCTCAGGTGCCACCCTCCTTCGGGCCTGGAACGCCAGGGACTGCACTCTGGGCAGGGTCACCGCCCTCCCTGCCAGGGCCTCTTCCTCCCGGAGCCCCAAGGCTTCTCCATCCTAGGGCCAAGGGCTTCTTCAGCGGAGCTCCTCTCCCTGATCCCCTGTGGCTAAAGCCCCCATGAGCACTGGAACTCCAGAGGGCCCTAGAGGGCCCAGGCGCTGAGATGAGTGCCAGCGCCACGTGGAGCAAAGGATACAGGGTGACCTCCCGGGGCAGCAGCAAGCCCAGTGTCCCCTCCTGTTGCGACTGGGGCTGGCCTCTGTGGGCCAGGCGCCCTCTGGTGGCCCCATGCTGCACGTGCCTCTCGGGGCGCCCCGGCTTGGGTCCCCTCTCCTAGGGGCCTGGCCGCCAGACTTCTCCAGCACCAGGCCCTGGGGTCGCCGCCTGGTGCGAAGCCACCCTGACTCAGCTGGCCCAGGCCCCGGGGGAGCGGCTGGGAGGCGAGGAGATGGCCCTGGGTCTGCAGGCAGTGCTTACAGCCTCTGTTGGCCAGAAATGACGGCGGGCTTGTGAGAGTGGGGAATGTCGGGCACATAGGGCTCCGGTTCAGGACTTCGGGGGATGTTTTTGGATGGCCGAGCCTGGCACTCAGTGATGACAGCTGTCGTCATTTTACAGGTGAGGAAGCGGGCCTGGGGGATTCGCGGCCACATGTGTGAACCAGAACTCCCTCGGGCCAGAGCGCTTCAGAGAAAGTGAGGGCCACGAGTCCAAGCCCGCCCAGGGCCCCTCTGCCGGGCGCCGGGCAAACGCAGAGCCCCGTGCTGAATCACACACGCCCACTGGTGCTGGCAGGTTTTCTGCCCCCGCCGGCCAGCTTGCTCCTGGTTCCCAGACATTTCTCCACACTGGCCCGGCCTTCCGACACTCGAGGGATTTCCCTTGTATGGCTCTCACCCTTCCTGGGGTGCTGGGGACAGGGACCACCTCTGTACGCTTCTCTGCCATAGTCACAGAAGCTGGCCCAGTTCTCGGCACCAAGGAGGTTCTCAGTCAGCACTGGTGGGGACCCACACGTCTCCCACTCTCTGCTGAGCCACGCAGGGTGGACGGGGGCAGACGAAGGGCCTGGGCAGCAGAGGAGGGGTCTAGAGGTCCAGCCCTGGGGGTTGGAGGTCAGAGGGGGCTGTCCGTGCAATGAGAACTGGTTGGCTGCCCCTCTGCCCCAGGGCTGAGGCCCACCTGCCAGCATGGGTGGGTACCAGCGGGCCGTGGAAGCCCCAGCAGGGACCACCCCTCAGGCCCATCAGCAGAAATGGGCCTGACTGCATGGGTGGTGAGAGATTCTGGGGAAGTGCCCTCAGAAGCCCTGGCCTTGCTCCCCACACCCCAGAAAGGGCCATCCTGGCTGGGCCCAAAAGAACCTGCCCAGCATCTGTCCCTGAGCTGTGGTCTGTGGGGCTCTCACAAGCCACCTGGCTCATGGCCCCGGGGCCCCAGGCGGTCCTCAGCCCCCAGTCGTGCTGCCGCTCTGGCCCTCCACCATTCAAGGACCTATGGTTTCATCATCCCCAGCTTTGAGACGGGGGGAGGTACGTGGTGGGGAGGCCCGAGGGAGCCAGGGCCTCCTGGCAGGGCCACCTGTATGATGCAATGGTCTGAGCACCTTGCTGGACACGTTGCCATGATCCTGAGAGAGGAGAGATATCCTCCCATCCTCCCTGGGCCTTAGTTCAGATGTCAGTCCTGCTGCACCAGCTTCCCGCCCTGCTTGGCCTCTCCTGGCCTCTGCTTCTTCACCTGCGACAGAGGAAGAGTCACAAGCCCCCTGATGGTCCCCAGGACCCCAGGAGGGGCGCCAGTGCCACAGACTGCCCAGCTGTTCTCCCCCTTGCCCCTGCCCCGAGGTCTCTGTGGGCCCGTGCAGACCCGCTCCGTCAGTGGCGTCCAGCCTTGAGAGCCCTTATTAGGACCCAGACTCGGTGCACGTCTCTTCCCGTTACTGTCAGCTTGACGCATCAGATGAGGAAGGGTGTCTGTAGACCTGACTTTCGGATGAGTAAACCAAGGCCCAGGGAAGCCATGTAACTTTGCTCAGCACAGCTAGGCCACATGGAGCTCTAGGGACTGCAGCCCAGTCTGTTGACCCCAAAGCCTGTGGCATTCACTGCTCCCCTGTCCTGGGCTCTTGAGTTTTCTGGAGGCCTCGAGCCCTTGCAGTCCAAAGGCCTGAAACAGGAATCCGAGGCCAGGCCATGGTGGACCACCAGCTGCCTTCTCCTGAAGCCTGGCTGCATCTCTCAGGCCAGCTCTGAACACGTGTGAACCAGAGCTCCACCTGAGCCTTTGGTCTGGCCTCCCTGCGTCCATCGGGACAGGGCATAGCTGGGCCTCATCCTCTGCCCGGTCCTCCGGGCCTGCCTGCTGAAGGCCGGCTCCTCAGCCGGCCTCGGGGCCTGCTGCTTCTGCGCCGCCAAGGAAGGCTATTCCCGGGCCCCATGGCGTGAGCTAGGCGGCCCCCAGGTATACACAGAATGGCCCGGCTGCGGACCACTGGCCAGTGCAAGGAGCCAGCATGTCCCCAGCACCATGCTGTGCCGGGTCCCCCGGGAGTCACGGACAAAGGCCTGATCCAGCAGCGAGTGAGCCTAGGAGACGGGAGATGTCAGTCTGGCTCCGTGCGGGCACTAATGAAGGAACAGTGTAAGCCTGAGCTTGATGGGCCTTCGGGGCCACAGAGGCCTCCTGGGAGAGAGACTGGGGACACACTGGCCAGGCTTCAGAGCCAGGAGGAGAGCACGGTTAGCTGGTGTGGGTGTGTCCATGCCTGTGGCAGGATACCACGCCTACAGGTGCAGGTGTCCACCTGGCTGGCCCTGGACAGGAGACAGGCCAGGGGAGGGGCTCACCCCAGGCCACTGGGAGTCAGGTCGGGCGTGGGACCGGCATCCACCACTCCCAGGCCTGGACATGCCCGGGCAGTGAGAGGCTGGGCACCTCTCTCATAACCCAGACTCTTCCTCCCAAGACCTGGCTTGGTTCAGTGTGGTTTCACACCAAGACGCCTAGCCCGCGTCAGGGGCGCAGAGGAACTGGGCCCCACTGCCTGGTTCAGCCCTTGCC